CGCCCCCCCCCCACAAAAGCCACAGGATCTGGCCCCCGGGGCACCCTGCCAGAACCCTGAGGCACTTGCAAGCTGTCCCTGCATTTCTCTACTCTGCAGGGAGAGGGAGGCTTCATGCAATCTCCCTGCCCCCAGCCCAATCCTTAGCTCCTATTGGCCAGAAACAATCAGCCAATAAGAACTGACCTCAGCCAATCTCCCAGCTCCAATTGGCTGGAAACAGCAAGCCAATTGGAACTGAGATATTGGCCTGAGTGACTGGGGCAGTGGGACTTGAGAGCCGGTGGAGGAAGAGCTTTTATTTTTAAGTGGGCTGGGGCTGCCGGCCAGGAGAGAATTAGGTAAACTCCTCCCGTCCAGCGCCTACCTCTAGCACCCCAACTCATTCCCCCAGATAATCATCTGCACCTCCTGCCCAAGGTGACAACTCCCTCCCAGATTCTGTACCACCTGTTACATCCCTCCCCCAGGACAGAATCTTCTCCTGCACCCACACTCCCATCCTGACCCTACACTCCAATCTCCATACACAAGTCACAACTCCCTCCTCAACCCAAACACCCTGTAAGACCTCATGCCATCTCCTGCACCCCAGTCCCTTATTCCATGAGTCCTTCTGCACCCAATCTTCACCCTAGATCTTCCACAGAAAATTGCGGCCCTTTACCACTTACTAAAATCTTTGAGTGGCCCCCCACCAAAAATTATTGCCCACCCTGGTCTAGACAAAAACATCTAGTAGTTTTAACTCAAAATATAAATTCTGAGTGGGGCAAGTGGGAGAATTTAGAAAGTTTTACAAAACCTAATATTTTAAAAACATTAGCATATTTTCCCAAAGTAATTTTATTTGGTTATAATTAAACAACCAAAATGCTGACAACTCAACAACACAGCATTGGATTTAAATATGGGAGCCTGAAAACAGAGCTGACAAATCTATTCTCCTTGTTCAAACTGAGTGAAACATAAAGAGGAAGTTAAAACAACATATATGGTAAAAACAACAGATTTTTAAATGATTTATATATTAAATGACAAGTAAAGCCACTTGTTTTCTTTTTAAATCATGTGACTTCTAGTTTACACAAAGATAAATCAGGAACATCAACATCAATTAAACTATATTAATGTAAGAAAAGATTATTTAATCTGTGAGTTCCCCTTTAACTGAAATCACAAAGCCATCAATAAGTTTCCATGCTTTATTATGTTTTTGGCCTCATCCTGTTTCTACAATCACCTGCCATATACAATACTACTGAATATTTATATGTAACATTCAGCAGTGTATTATTCAAAATAAAACATGCACATACTCTTCCCGCCTTTCTCCACATCTGATCTGTCATTAGGTCCTGCAAGCATAGATACTGAGAAGCAACGATACTGGGTTGAGAAGCGGTTCTGGAAAACTCGGGGGATTGGATGATCAAACATATTAAAAGAAAACTGTGGGAGGAAAGAAAAGACATTGATCCACTTTGCAAAGACACCAGCAGACTTAAGATTTTTACAAAAGAGATTATTTAAATTCAACGAAGAATACAAGTGATTGTCATTTACAGTAGAGTTCTGATCATCCGGAACCTTTGGGACCTAGGTGGTGCCGGATTATTGGATATGCTGGACTAACAGGAGGTACTATAAGATGGTTTTTATATATATATATATATCACTCTCTGAACCTAGATGGTGCCAGATTATTGGATATGACAGACTATCAGGAGGTACTATAAAATGGTTATATATACTGTACCCTTTTTATTGTACATACTGAATACAGTATTGTTTTAGCGTTTTAACCTTTTTTTTTTACCCTTTTTGCTCTGTTCAGCTGCGGCCGCTGCTGCCTTGTGACTCGTTTTTTGCCAAAGCTCACTCACTAGGCTCTTGCCATTTTGATGCCAGACTATCAGGCATCCGTACAATTGGATGCTGGACTATTGCAGTTTTACTGTATTTACTTCTTCAGCACAGGGTAAGAGATATTCAACTTAGGTGTGGCAGAAGGATATTTTTGTACAATTACACTTTTATTTTAATGATAAAAGAGATGACAGTGCATATAGTATAAAAATAAGCACAGTCTTAGGTCTTCATCATTCCTGAAAGCAAATCATGCATAGGAATACAGTAAGGTAGTAAAACAAACGAAAGGGAATATACTCAGAATTTCTCAGGAAATACTCAGAATTAAGGGGAAAGGAGGCGACTCAGACTAAATCTGTGGTGTCCAACCAGTATTGAAGCTATAGCGAATTAGCCACAATCAACTGGCCAAACAGCCAAATGTGGCTAGTGACTAGTTTGTTAAACTTTTTAAGATTACTCCATATATAATAAGGAGTGCTGTGGCACCTTATATATTAATAGATGTGTTTGGGCATAAGCTATTGTGCATAAAAACCACTCTGTCAGATGGATGACAAAGATGCATGCATCTGATTAAGTGGCTTTTACATACAAAAGCTTATGCCCAAACACACTGGTTAGCCTATAAGGTGTCACAGGACTCTTGTTTTTGCAGATACAGACAAACATGGCTCTGAGACTTGTCTCCATATATCACTACACAAAAAAGCCACCCTGCAACCATCAATGAGTGGGCAGGCTAAATTGGGGTTGCTTTCTTAGCTATCCTCTGCTCTTGGGAGCAAAGACTTTGCTGGAGAGGTTTCCAGAGAGGGCTTTAAAAACCTCTCCTGTTCCAGTCGGCTACTTGTGAAAGGAAAGGCGGCGGGGCCAGGAGGGAGGGATGGGCGAAGAGGAGGGTTGTTTACTTATGTCCCAGACAGGCTCCCTGAGGCGGCTCCCTCAATGCGTTGGGCCCAAAGGGACAAACTCCGACCCCCTCGCAGAGCAGTGACGTGTTTGTTGCTGGACAGGCTCCCCTAGCGCCTCCCCTGCCCGGGCACAACAATGCACGCGCGATGACTCCGCAGCTTTCTCCGTCCCGTCCCCCTGCGCCCCCCGTTCTTAGGCACCCCCACAAACCCCCGGAAAGGCTTTTACCATCCTGTCGCGCCGTCTTCTTGCTTATACAGCTCTCGGCAGGGGATCCCAGAGAAGCGCCTTCACGTCTGGGCAGGATCAATGCAGCGACGGCTGCTCCTCCCCCCACAGGAAATCCTCTGCTGAGGGAAAGGGAAGCAGGGAGGAGGAAATCACTGGGCCCTGCCCCTTTGCTCTAAGAGTGACTTTCAGTTTCGACAGGCGTGGGGGCTATCCTACCAGCGGTGAACGCGATCAGCAGAAACCGAACGCCCTCATAGGTCTCAAAGGCGCGAAAAACATTTGGGAGGTTTGGCCCACTGTTCCCACTAAACTACATTTCCCAGAATGCAACGGCTTATCAATAGCCCCTTATTGAGAAAGCCAAGAGACTTCCGGTGCAGCCCCTTGGAGAAAAGGCGGAAGTTGCTTCACAGGCGTCAACATCGTTTTTTGTTAAACAAACGATTTTTCCTATTCACTCCTGAAACAGTTATATTTTAGAGCTTATGGCTTGTTTATATCTAATAGAGGGGCTGGTGAGGAATCTTGCCCATGTCAACAATGGCGACGATGATGGGCGATGTAGACGGTCACACAAAATGGCGGTTTCAGGAGCGCTTCGTGGCGATTGGCCAATCGCTCGGCTCCTCGATCGCCACAATCGCAATGTGGTTGGTGGAGGGCTGAGACGATCGGATGGATAGTCCAATCAGCGCTGTAGAGATACAAAGTACTGGAATGTTATTGGGGCGTGGCCAGGACGCTGAGACCAATGGGAATTGGCGCGATTTGGCGCCTGCTTTGAGTGAGACTGAGGAGATCCGAACGGAGGGAGCAACACCAGCAGCAGCCGCTCTCCCGCCTTGCAGTGCGGCGGTACAATCAGCGCTGTAGAGATACAAAGTACTGGAATGTTATTGGGGCGTGGCCAGGACGCTGAGACCAATGGGAATTGGCGCGATTTGGCGCCTGCTTTGAGTGAGACTGAGGAGATCCGAACGGAGGGAGCAACACCAGCAGCAGCCGCTCTCCCGCCTTGCAGTGCGGCGGTAGCGGCCCGGTCTCGGCAATGTTCCTCTCCGACTTCCGTAAGGAGTTCTACGAGGTGATAGTGACTCAGGTAAGCGGCGTCCGGGGCGGGGGGGAGTATGAAGCCCGAACCGGAGCGGAGACAAGCCCAGGGGGAGCGAACCCGCATCCTGAACGGGGCCTACTAACTCCTGGCCCAGTGAGGTAGCGGGTTCCAGCAACCGCCGGGCCGCCCTGCTCCAGCTCCTGTCTCTCTCCCCGCTCCCCGCCAGCAGGTGCTTTGAGGGTAGAGGGGTCGCTCGCGATGGGAGGGCTCCTAGCTAGACTCTGGAGGGTCTTGCGCCTTTCTCCGCGCAACGCCCCGTGGGTCGGGCTGGATCCGCGCTCCGCAGGGTCCTGATAGGGCGGGACCGTGTCACTTAGGGAGCCGCCATACCGAGCCGGGGCCTATGCATTGCCCTGCTTTCAGCCTCATGATAGGCGCTGGGTTCCCCTCCTCTTCCCCCTCCAGAGCCCTGCACCCTGCTCCTCTCTCTCCCACCGGCTGCTGGTGCCAGATGCTGGTTTCAGATCGAACTCGACTGAGCAGGGAGGGTTTGCATTCAAGTTCTGGCTCGGTTGCCCGTAGTGGTCAAGTGGAGTCCTCACCTGGGTACATCACCGCTCAGAGTGTGCTTTGCTTTATTGCCTGGATTCTTTGGAGTGCACTCAGAGCTGAGACGCAAAATGTCTCAGAATCAGCAACAAGGTTTTGGAATGTTTTGAATTGTGAAATGGACAAAGAGCATTTTGGTGAGGACAAGGAGCGGTGACATCTACCTGGGTGTAGCTTGTTGAGAGAAATCCCAGATAGGGAGCTATGTGGAAGTAAAAGCTACTAGGTGCCTTGTGGCTGCTAGGATTTTATATTGAGTTTTACATCAAGCTAGCTGTCTTGATGTAAAAATCAATTACAGGGTTATCTTGACATAAGCTGCTTATGTCAATCTTGCTGTAGGTCTTTATTTAAATTTGGCTTCCAGCATTGGTCATATAAATGCTTCTCTGTGCTTATTTTGTATTACCATCTCCATCACTGTTGATGTAATTAAATCAACACAGTGTCACTGCATTGCATACAGCAACTTATGGCTTTCAGAAGCTGTCCAGTGATGCCCCACATTGATATACAAGTTCTCCAGGCGATGATGCCCACCACTGATACAAGGAGCTACGTGTGTGCTAGGGATGTTAGAAATCCTTTATTTTACTAATTGTGTAACTGCAACAATTCTTAGCCGTTACATGATTATTTGATGTCCCCAGGGGCAGGGCCGGCAGTCAGTATACTCTGGCCCACTCCTGGGAAGTCCCCTGCCACCTTGCAGCTGCTGCCTCCAATTTTTAATCAGCTGTTCTCATGATCCGACTCTCACCTGCCACTCTATGCTGCTGTGTCTGTTTCAGAGACAGCAGTGTGGTGTGATTGGTGGGAGTTGGTCCACCAGGGGAGCTGGTTTAAAAGTGAGCTCCCTGTACAGACTTCCTGCTGCCCTTCAATGTGGCTTCTCATACAGCCTGCCTCTCCACTGCTGCTTCCATGGCAGCAGCTTCTGTCTGTGGGGAGCTTGGGCCCACAGTAGAAAGGGGCTGCTCCTGCCTTTGATATAGAGGCAGCAGCACAGGGTGGCGGGCAGCTCCCCTGCATGCTCTTCATATAAAACTTGAACTGATGGGCTGGGACTGAGCCAGCTTGCCGGTCTGAGTTTTAAAGGCAGAGCATGGAGTGGGGTGAGATTTGTTGAGGTTAACTGGGACTGTTAACCAGTAAGCAGTATTTATCAAGTGAACAGTTATCCGGCTGGCCAGGAACATCCCTAGTGTATGCATCAACGAGCAATTTTAAAACTGCAATTGTCTGTATGGTAACCTAATTTTGTTGTGTAGACATGGCCAAAAACTATCAAATGACACTAATTAATATATACCAAGCACTGTCAAGAGTTGTTCTTTTGGTTTCAGAATATAGGGTTATATAAAGTTAGAATGAAAAATCACTTATTTGATTGCAAAAATTTTAAAGAAAAATCCTGTAATAAAATTAATTTACATCAGTTATACGATTGCCAGCTTTTGATAAATGCTTAACATAATTTCAGACATATGAATGCTGAAAATGTTGTCATTTTACCCTTTACATTTTGAAATACAGATTTTAAGATAAGGAAGAACAGATTTATTGAACTTCATCAAAGGGTCAAGACATCAGATGTCAAAGCTGCTGCTTGATAACAGAAGGATCCCATTAGGAAACTGGCATGCCTTTTCACAGAAGAAATCACTTTCTTATGAGTTATTTAGAGCTTCTTGTTAAATCTTTATTGGAAAAACATGTTGCAAAAACATGATATTGCTATAACTTTTTTTGAAAATCGCTATACAGGCAGTCCCCGGGTTACGTACAAGATAGGGACTGTAGGTTTGTTCTTAAGTTGAATCTGTATGTAAGTCAGAACTGGCGTCCAGATTCAGACACTGCTGAAACTGACCGCCAGTTCTGACTTACATACAGAATCAACTTAAGAACCCCAGGCGTCCCCAAGTCAGCTGCTGCTGAAACTGATCAGCAGCTGATTCCAGGAAGCCCGGGGCAGAGCAACTCTGCCTGGGGCTTCCTGTAGTCAGCGCTGGTCAGTTTCAGCAGAAGCTGACTTGGGG